AACAGTTTTTTTCCCCCCGACTCCAGATAGAAATTTTATTTTCAATGATAATACTTAAACACACACAGACTGTGTGCACGCACTGCATCTCTCTTCAGCCTGTGCACCAGCCTGTATCCTTGTTTCTCTGAAGGCATTTCCTCTCTCGCTCACACACCAACAGTAGCTCCCCTCCATCAGCAGCAGCCTCATGTCTGCTTATCGACTGAATGGTGATGCAAAAACATTTTTTTGTATCTTCAGTATAGTTTGCAGCATTGTAAAACAGGGTGTTGAAAAAGACAGCGATACGGGTGCCTGGGAGATAAAGCGAATACAGGATAAACCTGCTGGAGGCCATCAGACCAGAAACACAAGGCTTCATTGGTGAAAACCAGACAACACAGGTGAAGGAGTAAGAATTGAACCGGTGTTATTGCACTGAAGAAGCCTTGGGCTCTTTTTCTACGAGTTCGTCCAGGACTGTTTGTTGACACCGACAGAGGAGCTAGATTACGGATTTGAATTAATAATGTATCTGACAAGAGGTTGAAATGTTTTAGAGCTACTCTTGCCAGTTTGGCCTTAAGCTTTCGATGATCATGTGGATTTCCTTTTAGCACATTTCTGAGGGCCAAATTAGGTCCATTTCCATGCATATGTGGTAGTGAGACCTCACATCTGTTTCAGCATGAGTGGACATACGGTTTCCTGCCTCTCTGAGAAGAACGTAACAGCAGCAACTCATTAGTCAAGTTTGCATACATCCTTAAACACGCTCCATTTTTCCAGACATCCATTCATTCAACGGTGCTTTAACTGGCAGTGGTGGGACCTGAAAAAGTGCCAACGGCAAGACTGCAGGAGGAACTAACAGAATGTGATCAGTGAATTAGCAGCAATATGGAAACAAAGACCTTTTTTATCTGCTTCTTTTCAGAATTTCATACATTGATATGGCTGAGAAATAAAGCCTGGTGTAAAATATATCTTAAAACCCAAACAGAGTTCTGAAAGCTAGCTGACAGCAGTATGCCTGGAAAAAAAACAACACTCAGTCTCTAAATGCTGGGCAATTATTTGGTGAAAAAAAAGGATGCATGCTTATCTTTAGCTGCTAATGGGAACAGAATAATTGCAAGTATTAGTTTTCCTAAATATATTCCTATTTTCTGGCGTTCTGCAAGTAATCCAGCATTGTGTAATATTTCATCAGGTGGACATATTATTATAAGAACCCAGCACAGGGTTAAAGTTGTAAGAAAGTTTGCTGATGAAGATTCTCAGTCATCCAGGTCATAGTCATTCCGTAAAACTTAAAAAATATCCACTGGACTTGGTTTCCAAGGTTTGAAGACGTTTCGCTTCCCATCCAGGAAGCTTTCTCAATTCAAATGTCTGGATCCGCAGTGAGTTTGAGTCTTTATAGACAAAGCCTTGTATCGCTTGGAAACATGCAAATGGAAACCGATGAATGGGTCGTTTGGTTCCATCGTTAGCCTGTGATACCTGAAACCTGTCTATGATTCTGAAGGTCGGTCATTACATTTTTTTTTTTTACTTTTACGAATTGTAATAAAGTTGTAATAAAGCAGAACCAGTGGTTTTATCACATTCCTACCAGATTCCTGAAATTGAAATAATCACTTCATGGTTTTCATTTAAATTCCTTCTGATTCCATCAATAAATGGATTTAAAGACCAACTAACAAACATATCTTGCTGAGGTCCAAAAAACTGTGGGAGACTATTCCGTAAAAATTCTAAAAATATCCACTGGACTTGGTTTCCAAGATTTGAAGATGTTTCTCCACCTCTCCAGGAAGCTTTCTCAATTCAAATGTCTGGATCCACAGTGAGTTTGAGTCCTATATACTTGGAAACCAAGTCCAGTGGATATTTTTTTGAATTTTTATGGAATGACTATGACCTGGATGACTGAGAACCTTCATCAGCCTGTGGGAGACTAAGGCATTAATTCCAAAAAAGTTTAAAAAACTTTTTCCGGTTTCAGATATTACAGGCGAACAATGGAAACAAACGACCCGCTCGTCGTTTTCTATTAGCATGTTTTAAAGCAATACAAGCCCTTGTCTATATAAAGCCTCACTGCAGATCCAGACATTTGAATTAAGAAAGCTTCCTGGATGGGAAGCAAAACGCCTTCAAACCTTGGAGACCAAGTTCAGAGGATTGTTTTTTAAACTTTTATGGAATAACTATGACCTGGATGACTGAGAATCTTCATCAGCTTAAGGCAGTGGTTGCCAAAGTGTGGGGCGCACAATGCCATTGCAGGGGGGGCGCGGGAAGCGGTATGGATGAATGAAGAAAAAAAAAAAACAGTGCTTGCTTGACTGAGCATAATGGACAGTTGTGACACTGCAACCCAGATTTGAGAAGATCTGCAGCAACAAGCAGGCTCACTACAGCCACTGAAAAGATGGGAGGATTAAAGTACAAAGAAAAAACTCTCAGGGAGCTGTTCAATGTTTTCACTCCATTTTGCACAGAGGCTTTTTTAATGTATAGATTATAGCAAAGTTAAATATTGTTACAAATAAAAAAAACAAAACAAATATGTTTAAAATAACACAGACAACAAAGAATCCTCTTCTAATCTACAGTATAGAACTATGAAAAAAATAGAGTTACACAAAAATGTTCCACTGTAAAGATGGTGTAGTTTGTTTTTTTGCAACCTGAAGTGTGAAATAAACTTCAGTGGAGTTTGAAAACAAAATATGTGTATAGGTTTATTATATCTGGTTGAACGATGTGTCTGCCCAGTTGATTTTTTTTTTTTAGGGGACGGGGGGGCGTGGAAATTTTATTGTAATCCAAAGGGGGGCCCAGAAGAAAATCTTTGGGAACCACTGGCTTAAGGCATTAATGTTTTGAGCTTTGAAGTGGGAAAAAAGTATTCAACTATTCACTTCAGTTAAATAAACAGAAGGATGGATTTCACTCAGTCTTCACTTTATTTTCATCTTTTCAAAGAGTGAACAGTTCATCATACAGCTTATTGTTGGTAATCAGCCCTGTTCTGATCTAGGCAGCGTCCGTTCCTCCTTACTAACAATAATAGAAAGTAGTCAGAGTTAAAACAAATTAAAAACACTTTGGTTAAACAGTAACTTGTTATGAGAAAGAACCTGGTTTGTCATGGAAGAAGCTCTGTCTGGTCTACAAACACCCTGACACTGGGGAATGTTGTGGCCTTGCAGGTGATATCATTTGTTGAACAGGATGTAATAGTTTCATATTTAAAATACTTTCAGATGTTTAAATTCTGAATATGATCAGACTTTTCCTTTAAAGCTGCATTGATGGAAACTGAAAAACATTTTCAGTGCGTATATCAGTCGGTCATTAATCCTCTTCTGTTTGGCTTTTTCATAAATGATACTGCTGTCATGCTATACTATATCACCGAAGTACCAACAGACTTAGAGAAAGATGTCTCTCTTATCAGCCCCCGCGGCTGACTGGAGAGCAGTCCAGGTCACCTTGAATCATTTCCAGTCTTTATCAGATAATGTCAGTAACATTTAATCTGTGCACCTAAATGCACCACGACCGTCACATTCATGAACGATACAACCTCTGAAAACAATAAAAAAAAAACAGTTTATACTAAACTTATCAGCAGATATTTTATTTATGTTTCGGTTTGAAACGACAAGAAGACCAAACGGTAATTTAAAGCAACGTTTTCTGAAAAGACAATTTAAAATACAAACAATAACTCAAACCAACATATTCAATAGAGAATAAGCACAGTTGGAGGAACTAAACTCAGTCTCTAGTTTAGGTACAAACAGCTGTAGAGGAAAAGTGGCCATTCTGACTCCAAGCTTTAATGAAGCTTTGATCCGTGAAACATGCTTTGTCTAAATTGCAAAGCTGCTGGTTGGTTGGGTGAGAAGAATAAAAGAGGCCTCGCTTTATGTGTGCGAAAAGCCTCATCGTTTACATACTGTCATTAAACGAGGACAGATGGACCCAGTATTCAAGGAGAGACAGTCAGTAGGAAAGTTCAAAATGTTTATTAAATAAACAAAACAAAAGCGGAGCTGTGGCTCGCGGACACTGCAGGCGGGGGGGCGGGTCACCGCCCAATCTCAGACACTCTGTAGTGGGAGAAACACAGGTAAGTGACCACGATCATCTGACAGAAGATGATCTGTGTTGGTCACTTACCTGGTTTAACAGTCCAGACCAAGAATGTCCCCAGTGCTTCAGTCCCAGAGGACATGCTGGAAGCTGATCCTGGTCAGGGATCCAGAACAGACAGGAACAGGATCCAGATCAGGCAGGAACAGAAACAGGTGGCAGGATCCAGACTTCCAGGCATCCACAGGCTCCCAGGAGGGTTCAGAGTCTGACTGGGACCAGAAGCATGACCAGGTGGTCACGCACAGGAGCAGACAGGATCAGGTGAAGACAGGCAGGCTCAGTGGAAGAGGGTAGCAGAGACAGGACGTGGAACCGGAACTTGAAGCAGGACTTTAAACTGGTCTCCTCCCTGGAGCCAGGCTTACTGGATAAAAACTGAACCTCCCCCCATAATGAGCCAAAAACCCAGAGGACTCCGCGGGGGAGGAACAGTGGACGATCAGGAGACGAGACAAACACTAAAACCCTCTTTCCACTGGCAGCTAGGATCCAGGACATGAACCATGAACTAAAACTCAGACAAACAGACTAACAGAAAGACAAATAATGATCTGGCCCTGAATGCTCAGGCTGAACTGAATATAAACCAGAGGAAACAGGTGAGAGGAATAAATTATAATTGAGGAAGGGAGGGAAGAGGGCAGGTGAGAGGAATTACTAATTAAGGGAGGAGCAAACAGGCCAGATCATGACACATACTCTGATCAAACAGTGGCAGATCTGCATTTGATATGTTCTGATATGATATATATGACATTTTAAAGTCTACTATCGTCCACGAGAGTTAAAAAGAGAAAAAGAGGTTGAGAGAGATGAGGAGCGATTTAGTCAGGCGGAGGCAACAAGAACCGTCTGATTGGACTGCGTTCCCCTGCCACATGGGGTCGTCCGCTTCTCCACCCGTCCTCATTCAAAGATTTTAGAAAAGAGGTACTAAAAGAAGAAAAAAGAAGGGTGGATAATAAAAAAAGGCTAAAGTTCAAACTTTACCGTGTTAGGTTACAATTTAAGCTTTAAAGTATTAAGAAAACCCAATCCCAGTCATGTTTAGAGTGATATAAAAACAGAAATATTAAAATGTAATCTCACAGGCCAGTCATTTGTGATTGGTCTACTGAAGCAAAACTGAGGACACAGCCAGGAGAAACCTAAAGCATCGTAAATAAGGTTTATCAAAGTGTCAAGCAGAGCCTGAAAAGCAGACAGACTTTCTGCCTCTGGAAGTTGATTCCCCAGGAGAGGAGCATGAAACATGCTTTTGAAAACCTGCAGTCTTCACTATATAAATTTGAACCTCTCAAGGTTGGAAGTGAGTCCTTGCCAAGTGGAGGAATTTAAGCATCTTTGGATCTTGTTAATAAGCAGGTGGACGATGGAGCGCGAAATCAGAAAACGGATTAGAGCATCGATCGGCTGTGGTGAAGAGATAGTTTTGCTAAAAGAACATAATCTGCAGGTTGATCTATGTTTCAACTAAAAGATGACATTTAAGATTCCCAAAGGTAAGATGATTCCAGCAGGAATCCTGCGGGATGGAAGTAAACTTCGTCAGTAATGAGGGATCAGGACGGTACCTAAAGGTTAGCAGACAGGAGCCAGTAAACATTCATCGATGTAAAAAAAATAAATCCTCTCTAGATAAACTTATCAAATGTAACGAGAGCCTAAAAGCAGCCTGATTGTTTATTTTCTAGAAATCTTTTGAGTAGAATGTCCATCACAAAAACCATGGAGGGGGGAGACTGAGAGAACAGGGCCGTAAACATCTGACACTAAAGCAGACTTACTGAGTTAGCAGAGCGGGTGATAAACAGAGGAGAGGAGGAGCAGCGGGGACACACTAAAGACGTCAGAATGGATCCTAACAGCCTGATAAGAAGTGGCTGAAGATGTTAGAATATAAGCAGATTGATTTAAGAACTAAAAATAACTTTATTTTTCTCACAAGCAAAATGCTGTAATTACAGCAGCACTGGTAAGGGATAATGATAAGAGTGGCATTTCTGCAAAACTCTGCCTGCTATTAGAAGAACTATAATCTGCATTATGTCCAATATAATACAACATGTTTAATGTCCGGAGGATTCCAGGCCTTTATTTATCTTTGTTTTCAAATGCGCTGATGGCCAGAGGCAGGTAGAGAAGCCAAAAACTAAGAGGAGCACAATTAATTAATTAATTAATCATTCAAAAAATAGTCTAGAAAAAGAAATAATTTGATAAAAAAGTCTTTATTCCAGCTGGACTGCTACATGTAAATACAGTAGCTTTGGATTTGATGTTAAATAATTAGATAATCGGACATACAAAAAGATATGATACTGTAAAAACACTGTGATATTTAACCCCTTCATGACTCCCAAATAACAAGAAAAAAAGAAAAAGGTTTTAGGTTTGCTGCATTGGAGGTTTTCAAAAACCTCCAATGCAGCAATAGATTTGATTCCTTCCTGCTATCATCACAGCCCCACCCCCTTTACAGGGGAACAGAAGACCTCAGCTAATCAGCCAGGCTGACAATTCCCTCTAACGACCCCCCTTTCAGAGACATAGTCAGGTATGGGGCATTGCAGGCTAACAAAGAAGCCAAACGACCCCCATTCCAAAGGGGGGGACCCGTTCATCAGGTCCAATTAGTATGTTTTCTACAGGCTTTGTCGGGCCACTGTATAAAGCCTGGAACTAAACGCCATTTCTGACATTTTTAATGAAAAACGTTCCTGGATGGGAGAGAAATTTCTTAAAACTTGGAAAAAGTCGAGTGGATTGTTTTTATTTTTTTGGACTGACTTAGCTGGATGACTGAGGATCTTCTTCACCAGAAAGAAAAGAAATTATTTATTTTTTTTTTTTTAAGCAGAAGTGGCGTCGGAGCAGGGATAATTCTACCAGCAGTGGGAGACAACAGGAATCATAGGTCATCCTCTAGACCCGCCCCTTACCTTGGATCAGGAACTTTGATAAACAACCAAGTGGGTCCCAGACAGAAGCAGCTGAGATAGGGGCCATGTTGTCCCTTAGATAAAGGCTGAGCGGCTTAGAGCAGAGCCACTGCTCCTCCACATCTACAGCAGTCAGCTGAGGTGGTTTGAACATCTGTTCTTGGAGGCGTTACCAGCGCCTCTCTCTGGGAGCAGACCAATGAAAGCAACAAGAAATACGGAGGATCACAACCGTATAATTCAGTAAGTCGAAAAAAACAAATAGACAAAACCCTCATAGTTTGCTTCAACGTGTCTTCTATGTTGTTCCAGGTTCAGTGATTGTAAGGAAGGATAAATATCTGGCAGCTTCCATGGCAGCTAAAGCACGCTCCACTGCCGCTCCACTACCGTCTGATCTCAGCTCTGGGAAATATGAAGTTGGGCCTCAGATGAGCCGGGCAGAAGCTTAATCATTAGGCCTGATGGATGAGGCCCTGAGCTGAGCAAAGGGGGGTAGAAGAGAGGGATGGAGGTGCAGGAACATTAGACAGGAGCGATGGTGGGCGATGGAGGGTAAGTGGGAAAGAAAGAGTGCTTGAGTAAGATTTACAGGACATGCTATGAAGGCAGAGCGATGGGGAGAAGGATGAACGGAGGGAGACGTGCGGGCGGCCGCAGAGGAGGATCTGTCTAACAAATTGCCTTCTCCTCCATTACAGAGGCTGTCAATGCGGACGCTTCTGTCAGCTGCCGTGCACGCTAGCGTCTGTCTCTGCTGCACACCCTAGCACACACGCATTCAGCCCAGCATACGACCACCTGGAATTGCTTCATCACTTCCTCCAAACCAAACACACACAAACTCTCCCTCCTGTTAACAAATGATAAAGTAGCTTGTCATGGCGGCGCTGTATAGCGCTGCTGTGGTAACGTCATCGCAACTCCGGAGTGTGTCAGATAGAAGTGACTGCTCATGTTTTATCGCAGGCTGCTGTAAACTGGCCGGCGAGACCAAACGAGCGGCAGGGTGGCTGGCTGGCTGACTGACTGACTGTCTGACTGGCTGCAGCTCTTTTTCACCTAATGATAACCGGCCTGTTAGCAGGAGGGCAACACATTAGCTTTTTCATTTAGATCGCCCTTTGCCTGAACATTTTTTTGAGATCATGTATTTTTGCGTTAGTCCTATGATTAACTGAGTGACCGTAACGCTCTGCAAAATATTCTTAAACTGGACAATTTCATCCTTTAAAACAATTATTTCATCCTTGTTCACAGACACTTGCAGCTGCTTTTCTACAGTCATTTTGTGATTTAAATTGTATTTTATGTACATATACACTATATTGCCAAAAGTATTTGCTCACCCATCCAAATTATTGGAATCAGGTGTTCCAATCACTTCCATGGCCACAGGTGTATAAATTCAAGCACCTAGGCATGCAGACTGTTTTTACAAACATTTGTGAAAGAATGGGTCGCTCTCAGGAGCTCAGTGAATTCCAGCGTGGAACTGTGATAGGATGCCACCTGTGCAACAAATCCAGTCGTGAAATTTCCTCGCTCCTAAATATTCCACAGTCAACTGTCAGCTGTATTATAAGAAAATGGAAGTGTTTGGGAACGACAGCAACTCAGCCACGAAGTGGTAGGCCACGTAAACTGACGGAGCGGGGTCAGCGGATGCTGACGCGCATAGTGCGAAGAGGTCGCCAACTTTCTGCAGAGTCAATCACTACAGACCTCCAAACTTCATGTGGCCTTCAGATTAGCTCAAGAACAGTGCGCAGAGAGCTTCATGGAATGGGTTTCCATGGTCGAGCAGCTGCATCCAAGCCATACATCACCAAGTGCAATGCAAAGCGTCGGATGCGGTGGTGTAAAGCACGCCGCCACTGGACTCTAGAGCAGTGGAGACGCGTTCTCTGGAGTGACGAATCGCGCTTCTCCATCTGGCAATCTGATGGACGGGTCTGGGTTTGGCGGTTGCCAGGAGAACGGTACTTGTCTGACTGCATTGTGCCAAGTGTAAAGTTTGGTGGAGGGGGGATTATGGTGTGGGGTTGTTTTTCAGGAGCTGGGCTTGGCCCCTTAGTTCCAGTGAAAGGAACTCTGAATGCTTCAGCATACCAAGACATTTTGGACAATTCCATGCTCCCAACTTTGTGGGAACAGTTTGGAGCTGGCCCCTTCCTCTTCCAACATGACTGTGCACCAGTGCACAAAGCAAGGTCCATAAAGACATGGATGACAGAGTCTGGTGTGGATGAACTTGACTGGCCTGCACAGAGTCCTGACCTCAACCCGATAGAACACCTTTGGGATGAATTAGAGCGGAGACTGAGAGCCAGGCCTTCTCGTCCAACATCAGTGTGCGACCTCACAAATGCGCTTCTGGAAGAATGGTCAAAAATTCCCATAAACACACTCCTAAACCTTGTGGACAGCCTTCCCAGAAGAGTTGAAGCTGTTCTAGCTGCAAAGGGTGGACCGACGTCATATTGAACCCTATGGATTAGGAACGGGATGTCACTTAAGCTCATATGTGAGTCAAGGCAGGTGAGCAAATACTTTTGGCAATATAGTGTAACTATTGTATTTGTATTAGCCCTACTTCCCTTTTCCTACGTGGTTACTTCACTTGTCAGGCCGCCATTGTAAATAAGAACATTTTCTTAAAAATAAAAGGTATAATAATAATAATAATAATAATTCAGTTTTTTTTATAATAAACACAAATTCATAATATGTCTCAAGAAACTTTGCAATAGAAAAAAAACCCCCATAAAATATGTACATTAAACGTTATCAAAAATAAAGAGCAAAATCAATTAAGCTGCCCAATTTGCCAGAGGACAGAAAAAAAGATCTAAATGCAGAAATATCGGAGGCAGAGGTGGAAAGAGCCATCAAATCCTTACAGGGAGGAAAGGCACCGGGCCCGGATGGCCTTACTTCGGAATTCTACAAAACATTTATGGACCTGCTGTTAAAGCCCTATCTATCCAT